AAGAGACTAACAGTGGGGGAATCGAGCCAGGAACCTGTGGTGGTAGTAAAACCCATGCAAGGTGCTTTGCCTATGGTGGTGGCACTCGCCCCTAGGCCCAGCACTGTGAAAGGCTGAGGCAGGAGGATTGCAAGTTTGAACCCAGTTTGGGCAACTCAGCAATTTAGGAAGGCTCCTTCTGAAAATTAAAAACAAACAAACAAACAAACAATCATAAAAGAGGCTGGGATGGAGACTATTTTGAAGACTCTGAGTTTAATCCTCAGTATTGAGAAAAATAAAAAAGATTAGTGTTTTCTGTTCTGCTTCTGAGCCAGTTACAGGTCTTTCCACTGAAGACTCAATCTTGGGAGTTCCAAAGCCCAGTCTACCTCTGCTTCCCTCAGTGAATATAGAAGGTTATTAAAAAAAAAAAAAAAAGCTTAAGAATGCAGTGCTATAGGTGCCATATAATCTCACCATTCCAAGGACGTATGACAAGCAAATAGGTGCAAATGCCAGTGTGTGCCATGAAAGTGAGATTGTGGTGCTCTGTGTGCTGTTTTTTAAGTAATTCTCTGTAGTTTCCAAATGGCTCCGCATTGAGCAAAATTCTGTCTGGTGATCACGGAAGGAAAGTAGAAACCAAAATAATTCCATCAAATATTGTGATCTGCTTGGCCACAGTGGAGTCGAATAATGGAGCATACACTGGGATAGGCGAAGCAGAAAAATTTTAAATCTAAATGCTCATTTTGGAAAGGTTTTGGTACCTAGATTAAAGCAAGAACTGCCATAGGAGCCAAACTTCATTGTGTGAGTTTGGCAATTTTGTTTTTCTTTTCTTTTCATAAAGTAAAAAAAAAAAATCAAGCAAACGTGTATCTCTAAAATGTACCTATAAAATCTGATTACTCCAACAACCTTGGAGTTGCAGGAAGGCGCCTCAGGCTCGCTAGCAGAACCAACCCAATCCGCGAGGCGCTAGGAAGCTTCCTTCCACTAGAGGGCGGTCACCGCTCAGGGTTTCAGCGAAAGAGGCGCAGGCACGCAAGCCCGAGCCGCGCGCGCCGCGAACTTTTTTCTCGCTGGAGCTGAACGGCCCAGCGGCCAAAAGCAGCCACATGCGCGCGCGCAGGGGGACAACTTGTAGCAGAAAAGCAAGAAGAACCAGCTCTGAGTCGTTTGAAAAATATGCTCAGTGGACGTTATTCAAATACGGCATCCATTTCCCACGGGTGTTGCCACCCGATATTATCCCTTTAAATCTGGTGCATCAACCTGGACTGGCGTTTTACCCTGCAGGTTACTTCTGGAAACCCACGTCCACCCCGCAGCCCAGGGTCCGCGCCAGTCCCCACTCTGAAACCGCGCTTCTAAGCAAGTGGGTGCGGGGAGCGAAGGGCTCAGACAGAGGCGGGGAGGGTCGTGCGCGCGTGGGTTATTTTCACTTTCAGAGAAGACATCTGCGTTTGTTTGCGCACAGAGATAGGAAGTCGCTGGCATTTTCTTGCAATTACCTTGTTTCCTGGACTCGGCTTTTGGTACTGCGAATATTTCTGAACTTTGCCATTTTTCCTCCTTCTCGAGCCTCCCAGAATCAGTCCCCGGGGGGACGCAAGGAGCCCGGTGTCGGAGCAGCTCCTCCAGGGAGAGGTTTCGATCGCTTCCGTGGGAGACCCGTGAGCGGGGCGTCTACACTGCCGTTTCCCCTCTCGCCTTGCCTGGCCTCCCCTGGCCGGGCCGGCTTAGGGTTCCCCAGCATTCTTCAACCTCTTTCCTGAAAGGGCGCCTTCCTTGGCCCGCAGACGTAGGCCGCGGTCCGGTTCCAGGGACGCGCGCGCCCTCCTCCCCTGCGCCCCAGGCTCAGGCAGGCGCTCCCCCGGCAGCTCTGCACAGCCGCCAGCTCGACCCTGTCTTCCACTAGCAGGCACTGGAACCCAGCCGTCCTGCAGGCCCGGGCCCCACACGCCCCACTCGCGGCGAGACGGTTCTAAAGGGTTCTAGAGACCGAGGAGGCGACGAGGAAGAAGGAAGGGGAGTTGCGGGTACGCAGCCCCTCCCGGGAGGGATGGCATCACTGTGTACCGCGAACGCGACCTTCTAATTAGACATTAAAAAGTGAAGTCCCGAGACAGTCCAATCAAACACATTTTAGAAAGACATACTTCGTTTGCCCACTGCCTCGCGCCTTTTCCGCAGCTGTAGACCTTGCCCGTACCCAGGCGCCTGGCTTGGCAGATCTAGACCAGCACGGTTATCCTCTCCCGGCGCTGGACGTAGGTCGGGTCCCCTGTGAGTTCCTCCGACAGCCACACGGAGTGTAAGGTCTCTTCAATTTGAATCTGAAGTATTCGAGGCCAGAGCTGCCTGAGGCCCGCACCTGGGGACAGGGCGTGGCCTTCCCCACACCTACCTTGGATCCCTTTCTTCAGCCTGGAATTTGCTAGATAGCTGTCATTTAGTTTTCAATTAAAATGCAAATCATCGGCTTCCAAACACTTTCGCCTTAATCCTAAAGTACAGACCCACGCCCCACCTATGTGTTGATGCTGCGCAGGGCTGGGACGTCGCCACCGCAGGGTCCACGTTTCATTCTTGGGGTGGCTGGAAGAGGCCGTCCTCAGTGTTGGGCAAGAGGGTGTGGAGCCTCCGGGTCCCCAGAGGACCAAACCAAAACTAGGCTCCGGGGCCAGTTTGTGCGGACTCGTCCTGGTGGTCTCAGGGCGGCAGGGGCCCAGGCCCTGCGAGGCTCGCTCCCCAGGGCAAGGCAGCCCCCTCCGGTTGCCCCCTTTTCCTTGCCTCGCAGCTGGGACAGACCATGAGATCCCCAGGAATGAAGGTACACAGACCTCCAAATGTGTCCGGTTACAGTTAACAGTGTTTTAATTCTGCCGCCGTGTGAATGAAGCCTACAAGCTAGGGAAGGAAACTCCCCCCACCGCCAGGCTCGCAGTCGTGTGCTGAGTCCTGCGAGTGCTGGAGTTCGACAGAGTCGGCCCCCCTTTATTTTTGTGTGTCCCTTTTAACACACCAGATTCCGAGTTGTCCCTAGGAAAAACCTTGTGGGTTACAGTATTCACAGGCGATAAAAAAAAAAGGGGGGATAATTTTTGAGATTGAAGTTTCGGGGTTCACCAACCTCTCTGCCTTGGCGCAAGGACTGCGGGAGGTCCGGGAGAGCCCTGCATGCGGCCGAGGGAGACGCTCCCTTCTCGAGGACCCAGCTGGGATGGAGGGCACCGCCGCCCTCCTCCGGTTGCCTCGGGCGCAAGCAGGGTGCTGGTGACCGGCGGGAGACGCAGCCGGCGCCCACGCGTCCGAGTCCTCGTTGGAATCCTCAGCATAACACACACTGATGAAAGGCAGCCTCTTTCTCAGGTCAGATCTGAAAGTCTACAAAATGATGCGCTTGCCCAGGCCTTAAAGTTCATAAAGAAAGGAGGAGGAGGTGACCCCTTCTATCTCAGCAGTGAAGAGAAGCAGCACAAGGGAAACACTCTGTGCTGCACCCAAAGCCTCAGGCTCAACCAGAGGCCGAATCTGCAAAGACCGAGTGGCAGGGGAGTCAGCCCTCCCGATTTCACGGCGGGCCACGGCAGCCCTGCCCTTCGCGGCCAAACCCATCCATCTCTGTTCGAGTTTCGTCCTTGGGCCACGTCTTGCGTTTCGGGTTTTATTTTCCCCGTGTCCTGCTCTGTATGCTTGGACTTAACTGGTCTCATCCAAATTGCTGTGGTGCATCACTTGAATAACCGAACTCTCAAAGCCGCCCGAGGGTTTTCCTCCTAGGTGCTCAGTTCACCTCCACCGGGAACTTAAAGGCCAGCCAGAGGTGACGAGCCGGGCGTAGACACAGTGAGAACAACCGCCCACCCGTAAGTCCTGGACACCGCCGCCGCTACCACCGAGGCCAGCGATTTCCGTCTACACCACCAGCCCGCGGGTTCTATCCCGGGATACACGCGGTGCTTCTGCACCCAAAGTCTCCGCTCGAATCCTAGGGATCCCGCCCCATGCAAGCCCAAAGCGCGCAGTCATAATCAAGGGAAGGGAGGAAAGTTGTACACGGGTGACTGAGCCTCCCTTGGGCCAGGTCCCCTCCCTAGAACTGAGCAGACCCAGGCGCGACAGCGCTGGGCATGGGAGCGAGCGCGCAGAGCCGAGCGGCGCCAGGCGGGCGGCGGAAGCGGACGCGTTCCGGCCTAGGGGATTCAGGATCCCTACAGACTTGGGCAGCCGCGGACCCATTCGCACGGTGCTGGAGGAGCAGCTGGGACCTCCGGTGAATCCCCGCGCGGGAGGGAGCGCAGGGCGCGCCCGCCCCGTGGGCCCCGCTCTCTAGGGTGACGATCCACTCGAGGCGCACGGGGCAGACCCTGAGCGCTTTCCCATAAAAGGTCTGGATTTTACTCTATTTCTCTTTAAAAAGTAATGCGCTCTCCGGCCCTGCTCCCCCTCCCTTTTCCCACTTTATTTAGAACAATTAATCGAGGCAGCAGCGGCCCCGCAGCCAAATCGCTCTCTCAGGGCTCCACCCCTCCTGGCTCCGCCCACGGGGCGCTGTGGGCCCTAGGGGGAGGGGATTAGGCGGGCGCGGCCCGACGCCCCCTCGTCTCAGCCAATCCGAGCCTGCGGCGCTCCCGAGTAGGCGGGACCCAGGGCGACGCGAGGCCCGAGGCCGCGCCCGATTGGAGGCGCTGGGAGGCCCCCCTCCGCCGCGGCCCCCCGGCTCCGCCCACGCGCCTGGAGTGACGTCCCTCGAAGTTGTGGATCTGAGCCCCGCGTGCCCTCCCCGCGGTCCGCACTAAAGAGCGTCTCCGGCCCGCGAACGTTTTACTATCTTCGCGCGCCTCGCCCGAGCTGCGCGGGGGTCCGGCGGCGGCCAGAGGGGCGCGGGTCCGGGCGGGCGGTGCCGGCGGGCAGGGCCCGGCCTCTGCGCGCGAGTGGGCTCCGCTCCGCCCGCCCGGCCCGGGGCGTCCGTGGCGGCTCGCGGGTCCTGGGGCGCAGGCGGCGCGGAGCCCGACCTCGTCCTCGCCGCCCGGCTCCGCGGCCGCCGGGGATGCGGCGTGGCGCGTCCTGAGCGCCGCGCCCCGGGAGCGCGGCCGGGGATGCTAGCGGCGGGCGCGATGGACGGGCCCCGGCAGAGCGCCTTCCTGCTCGGCAGCCCGCCGCTCGCCGCGCTGCACAGCATGGCCGAGATGAAGGCGCCGCTCTACCCCGCCGCCTACGCGCCGCTGCCGGCCGGGCCGCCCTCGTCCTCGTCCTCGTCGTCGTCGTCCTCCTCGCCGTCCCCACCGCTGGGCGCGCACAACCCCGGCGGCCTGAAGCCCCCGGCGGCGGGCGGGCTCTCGGCGTTGGGCAGCGCCCCGCAGCAGCTCTCGGCCGCTACGCCGCACGGCATCAACGACATTCTGAGCCGGCCCTCCATGCCAGGGGCCGCGGGGGCCGCGTTGCCCTCCGCCTCGCCCTCCGGCTCCTCGTCCTCCTCGTCCTCGTCCGCCTCGGCCTCGTCCGCCTCTGCGGCTGCCGCCGCTGCAGCCGCGGCCGCGGCCGCCGCTTCGTCCCCGGCGGGGCTGCTAGCCGGCTTGCCCCGCTTCGGCAGCCTCAGCCCGCCGCCGCCGCCGCCCGGGCTCTACTTCAGCCCCAGCGCCGCGGCCGTGGCCGCCGTGGGCCGCTATCCAAAGCCGCTGGCCGAGCTGCCCGGCCGGACGCCCATCTTCTGGCCTGGCGTGATGCAGACCCCGCCGTGGAGGGACGCGCGGCTGGCTTGCACCCCGCGTGAGTACCGCGCGCGTCCTGGGTCCCTTGCGCGCCCTCTGCCCGGCCCCGAGACTGGCAGCGCCGGCCACAGTCGCGCGGTTTCGGCCGGTCCGGCGCTCCAGCGAGGGATCCTTGTTCCCCGAGCGCGCGTGGCTGCGCCGTTCGCTCCGCGAGACTTGGCCTGTCCAGGCCGAGTCGGTGCGCGCGTCCTCGTGGACCACTGCGCCGTGCAGGATGCGTGTCTCGGCCGCGGCCTTGCTGCTTTGGGATCGCTCAGCTGGCTGGCCTGAGTTGGAGAGGTGGGAAGAGAGGACTAAGCCCCTGAAGCCCAGCGTTTCGGGTCCCGCTACGCCCTCGCCAACCAGACTAGCTGCCCCTCTGCAAGCCGAAAACTGCCCAGGCGAGGTGCGAGTATTTACATGCGTGTCTCCGTCCCGTACTCCCTCAACTCACCTTTCGCCCTCGTGTCCCCCACCCCAGTACACCCGGGCCTTCTGAAGCCAACCACTGGCGCCCGGACCAGGGTGACCTGGCCGCACTTCCCACCGTCTCCACCCCTAGCCCGAACCCAAGACCGTGAGTCTGCACACAGCAGGGCCTTGGTGGCACTCCACACCCCTAAGCAGGAAGAGCCCGGGGATGAGCAAGTGAAGGGGCACGGACCAGAAAATGTGCCGGCTGTCCTGTCACGACCTCACCCGGGCATGAGACCACTCAAGATCGCGCTTATGTAGTGGCCCCGGCGCCGCCGAGGTTGCCAGCCATCCATGTGGCGCGGGGATCCAGCCTGTGACCCTTTTCTCACACTCTGCCTAGATTTAGACCGGCTCCCCGAAGTTTGCCCAAGTGTCTGGCCCTCTGGGTGGTGGTAGTGCCGTGGGGTGGGGGGTGGCTGAGCGGCAGTAGTTGCAAGTGGCGGGAGGCGAAGGAGGCTCCCAGGGGACCCGGCAGCGGGGCCGGCGGGGTGTCGGGGAGACGCTATTGTATGTGTCCTGGTGGCCGTGAAGAGGCCGCCAACAAAGGCGACGCCCCCGCCTCCTCCCCCTCGGCCGGAGCGGCAATAGACTCAAGGCGATTTACCTCTGTGTGTGCCAAACAAGGGGTCCTTTGTTGCCGAGACGCAGGTTAGGGAAGCGTTCCAGGGGGAGAACAAAAAAGTAAAAATAGTTATCTCCAGGCCGAGAGGCCGGGCCTGCGCCGCGAGCGCGGAGTAGGAGGCGACAGCGGTCTTTTGCCTGCACGGCTCCTCAGTCAGGGTGCTTCCCGCACCGCAGAAGTTAGAGTGGGCGTCCTCGCTGCGGGTCCGGGGAGCACCGGAGGCGTCCACTGCTGCCCGCAACACCGCCGGGCCTTGGGAAACAGGTGGGCGCGCCGTGCCCTCGGCGGACGTCCAGCTTCCTTTTCCCACGGAAACCTTGCCCGGAATCGCTCCCTACCCCAAGCCCCCGGTGGCCAGCTATTTCCCCACTCACCTCCTTGTCCTCTGTTCTCGCAGATCAAGGGTCTATCTTGCTGGACAAAGACGGGAAGAGAAAACACACGAGACCCACGTTCTCCGGCCAGCAGATCTTCGCTCTGGAGAAGACTTTCGAGCAAACGAAATACTTGGCGGGGCCGGAGAGAGCGCGCCTGGCCTACTCGCTGGGGATGACGGAGAGTCAAGTCAAGGTGAGCGCGCGTCAACCCGGGTGGGATGCCTGCCTCTGCCCGCACCCCGCAGCCGCCGCGGGTGGGGTCGGGGAGGCGGGAGACGTTCAGAGCCGCCGGGAAGGCTGCGGGGTCGTGCGGGAAGACAAACTGCTCCTGAACAAAAGAAATCAAGGTCCGGCCTTTGAAATTAGGTTAATCTACGTCTCGCTAGGGGAACTCGGTCATCATTACGGAATAAAAGCATTACTGAAATCGCCCGGAGAATAGATCAAGCTACTTAAATAGCTTTTCTTTCTATTTATAAGAGCTTCAAACTTTTGTTTGGTAATTCACGCTCCACTAGCTTATAATTTCCTAACATAGATCAGTATTCCAGGGCTTCTGTATTAACTTGCAGATTAAAAACCATAGACCCACAGGCGCTCACACTGAGCATAAGTGAACTCGTTTTTAATTCAGATAAGGCAATTACTTTGGAAGAGTAGTTTTCCAAAGGAATCCACGAAATTATTACTGTATTATGAAATTAAACTCTTTTTAAAACTTTATAAACAGATTGAAGATATTTCAGTTTATGATACTTGGTAGTTAAAGTGTCACTTTCTAATTGAGTTGTACAATGTATTTTCACAGACTCAAATTTTACAAATCTTTCTCTGAAAAACAAAGGAATTGAGCCAGCTGAGTAATTCAGCTTGGTGGTTTTCTACATTTTCAGTATTCTCTTTTCCTTCACTTTGTTACTTTAGGGTTTATGTCTGCTTTCAGTAGTATTTGTTACTCTTTTTTTTTTTAGAATCTAATTGTTTTATTTTATTTTATTTATTTTTTGTCTTTTTCCTTTTTATGGGTACCAGGGATCGAACTCACGACTGCCTGCTTGTAAGGCAGGTGCTTATGCCGCTGAGCCAAATCCCCAGCCCCTGTATTTGTTACTCTTTAAATTAAATAGGTATAACATTAGCTATGTCTGCCGGTTAGAGTGTATTTCCTCCTGGACAAGCATCAATAAAAACATTTCCGGAGTGATTTTGCATGTAGTCATTAAAATACCATCACATTTAAAATTATTTTTGCACTGGGTTGGTACGAAGCCTATCATGGTAATCGGGAGGTCTTCATCTGTCACTGTAAATATGTCTGCATATATAGACGTGAATTATAGCTGTATTAAAAAAATCTCTTTCCTAATGATTCTGCTTCTCTAGGTAAAATACATGGCAGAATAGGAACATTAAAAAAGAGTATTTCCGTATCTTTGGAAAACTGGTTTGTCATTGCTGATTCTTTAAAATATATGTATCAGACACATGCCAGCGTTATGAATGGGCTTTAAAGTTTTTGTGCATTAAATGAACATATTGGACAGAAGGAATAAATATTAAAGTAACACTTGAAAGAATTGGCACAAAATAGGAAGTAATGTAATTGGCAGAATTTTCACTTTTTAAAAATAACTGATAATTGTAGGTTTCGCTTTGCTTAGATTTTCTGAAAAACTTTAAGGGCTAAGAAAGAAAGAGAGCCAGCCAGACGAGTGACTGTGGTGATTGGAACAGAACTGTCCCGTTTTTGTGTGTTTGTATTGGTTAATGTGAGTGATCTGAGGTTTGTATTTTATTAAAAAACTAAACATAATGGGGACTTGGGGAAATTCGCCAATGTGGTTGTGTGCCTTTGGTCTCAAATCGGTGAAGCAATCCGTTTCCAGAAGCGAAAAGAGTAACAGAGTTAATTCTGTAAATGTGCCTAGCGACACTGAAACACTGGTACACTTTAGGTTGTTTGAAATTCCTTCGTCTATGAAAGCAAACACGGAGTAAAATCACAGCCAGCCACTATGGGAAAGGTTTGCGAATGGAAAAAAAGTTTTTTTTTACACCAGAAAGCAGGAAAGGGAGCTTTTTTTTTTTTTTTTTTTTTTTTTAAAGCTTCTGAGTTTTGCTTTTCTTCCCTTCTGGGAAGTCACTCCGACAACCCCCTACGCTTGTGTTACTGTCTCCATGGCAACGGCTGGCAGCCCCTCGGTGCCGTCCCCTCCTGGGGAGTTAGGTGCCGGGGACTCCAAGCCGGGCCCGGGAGGGGGCCCCTGCTGGAGGGCGGCGGCCAGCGGGGACGCGGGGCCCGGCCTGGCCGCGCTCACCGCGCCCCCGTGTCGCTGCCGCAGGTCTGGTTCCAGAACCGCAGGACCAAGTGGAGGAAGAAGCACGCGGCCGAGATGGCCACGGCCAAGAAGAAGCAGGACTCGGAGACCGAGCGGCTCAAGGGCGCCTCGGAGAACGAGGAGGAGGACGACGACTACAACAAGCCCCTGGACCCCAACTCGGACGACGAGAAGATCACGCAGCTGCTGAAGAAGCACAAGCCGGGCGCCGGGCTCCTGCTGCACGCGTCCGAGGCCGAGGGCGCGTCCTGAGGGCGCGCGGCGCGCAGATGTACAGATCTATTTTTCTAACCCAGAAGTGTGGTGGGAGGAGGGGCCGGAGAGAGACTGGGGTGGCCCGGAGGCCGCCCGGCCCACGCGGCGGCTGCTTCGTGGACGCGGCCGGCGTCCCCACCGGCGGTGCCCGTCCGGGGAGCGGCGGACCCACGGCGGGGCGAGGGGACCTGGACCGGGCGCGCCGGGCAGCACGGGACGCTGCCCAGCTCACTGCCGCGCCACTAAAGCGACCTGTTGAAGGCTCTGTAAATAAATCGTGAGTCACACTGACTAGAAGTTACTTTATTGTGAATATTTAAAATGTAAAATGCTTTTTTTGAATTTGGTATAAAGCGCTGGATCTCTTCCTCCTGCTGCCCGCCTTCCAAGCGCGCCTTCGGAGACCTGGCGCGGGTCCACTGACTCCCCTCACTGGAAACTTAGTGGGAAGGGCAGGAGAGAGCCTGCTCACCTCCAGACCCCCTCCTCGCGCTCCTCTTTTCGTTTGGAGTTGCCGAGCGTCAGTTTCCCTTTTTTGCCTCCTGGTCCTCCCCCCCCCCCCCACCGCAGGACTTGAAGTGGAAGTTGTGGGATTCGGGAGTCTCACACCTGCCTGGTTCCCTGTGAAATTGCACACAGTCTTTTGTTGCTATTTATTAGTGATTTGAAGAAAGGGCCGGAGAGGGAGGGGCCACGATAGCTTTGTTTAATTTAACTCCTTTCCGATAAAAATGCGTGTTAAGGTAGATGGTGGGGATTGTTACAGCCGCTGCGGTCAGAACATAAGCTCCATTTAGTTGCTGTAATTGAATTTGAAGTGTTTTGTATCATAAGAATACTATAGACTATGTAAATTGTTTTCTTTTTTTTAAGCTAATAATGGTGATATATTAGCATCTTTAACCTTTATTAATTTATATAAGGAATTCGGTTTGTAAAGAGAAGAAAGCCCCTTTGCAAGACCCGTTAAATGTAATGCACTTTCTGTTTCCAAGGATAAATCAAATTAAACAGTTTGAAGACGTCTGTTGCCTGGAGTGAAAGGGTACAGCCCATCTGATTTCATCCGAGGTCTCAAATGATAAAAAGACCGCAAAACGCGTTACATCGGTTTCTCAGGTGAAATAGCTGGTCCTTTTTTACTTTCTTTTTTGCAAGAGTGGGGTTGCATCTCTCAATCTCCTGGATTAGGAAGGAAAACAAGCTAGAGCCCACTGCTAGGGCTCCTCTGAGCGCCTCTTCCAGGGCTGCTGCTTCTGATGTCTGTGTTCTCTAATTCTTTCCTGATCGCTTTTTCCTTGCGCGGAAGTCCCTGAGGAGTTGGGGAGCGCTCATTTCCATGTATCCACGCCAGCCCGCAGCAGCCGGCTCGGAGCTGCGATGTTGAGTCCCCACCCCGCCCTGCAGCCCAGCAGGCTGAGGAAGCTGTGGAAAGATAGGCACCCTGCTGCCCATTCCAGGGAAGAGGGGTGCCCTCAAAGCCACTGTTAGCGCCCTGAAAGCCTTTATTGTGAAGGAGGCACTATCATAGCTTCTCCAGTCAAACTGACAAATATTTGGGAATCCCAGAGAGGGGGCCTAGCACTGCAGTCCCAGGCAGGGGCTTTTTGTTTCCAGACATTCGGTTCCAGGCGCTGTGAAATATCCTTATCCTCTCAGCTTGGCGGGTTAATGAGCTTGTGTTCCAGAGAGAAAATCAATAGGATCAGTAGATTCTCCAGGCTAATGTTAGGTGAGGGAAGTGCTGTGGGTCTGTTATGCTCCCTAGGAAAATTTTTTCAAGACAAAACTGAATTTTTTTCACAAATTCAACTAAGTGAAATCAGCCAAAAGGAACTCTTGTAGAATACATTCCCAATGACATGAGGGCGTAGAAAGAAAGAATGCAGATCTGCCTTCTGCTCTCTGCTTTGCAAAGTCCTCAACAAGTTTCACACTCTTCTGCATGTCGCGAGGGCATGTGTCTCCCAAGCAAGGCAGTGAATCCAAAGGAGACTGCGGTGTAGGCGAAGCGGTTTCCCTCCCACAGTGAGCCGGCCAGTCTCCCCGAGGAGGTCTCTGTCTGTCTGTCTGTCTCTGTGTCTCTCTGTCTCTGTGTCCTGTGTCTTGTCCTCTGCTCCCTTTCCCTCTTGCTTCCCCTCTCCCCCTCCCTTTCTTTCTTCCCTTTTTCCCTTCTTCCTTCCTTCCTTCCTTCCTTCCTTCCTTCCTTCCTTCCTTCCTTCCATTGTTCCTTTCTATTCTCTTCTTTACTGTTACGAGATAACTAGGGAGGGCACTAGCCTATTGTCCTGCAACTCCATTTTACCCTGAGAAATAAAAATCTTCTTTGTATTTTATATTTTTAAGCCTTGTCTAACCCCTCTTCTGTCCTGAAAAGTTAACTTTATTCATTCTCCCTAAGAAAGCAAAACCCCACAATATAATTGGAATATATTCTTGCAATATAGCAGTAATAATTAGCGTCGTCATCATCAGCATTGAGGCAGTAGAATCAGCCCTGGAAAACTTGAAACTAAGAAGCTTGATAGCGATAGATATAGATAGCATTTATTCTGAGTTGGAAGAGTGGAAAGTGACCTCCCGCAAATCCTTTAGGGTCTGTTCATGGTGAGCTCATCACCCTCGTCTGAGAACCAGTGTGGACTGAAGTGGGGACCTTGGCTCTGCCATGGGGGTGGCTGGGGCTGCAGGTCTTGTGCCTGTGCCTGTGGGACGAGGGCTCTGTGTCCTGGCCCCCTTCCTCCTTTTCTGGTTGACTGCAGCTGCGACTTGGGGTTTCCAGCTCATTTCCTTCGGTCCAGAGCTCCAGCTGGTCATTAGCAAAGCTAGGAAAGGGGACAAGTGGGTGGGTGACATCTCCCCAGTTCCCTTTATCTTGGTTGGCTTGGTTTCCTTCTACTTCTGCACAGCAAGGATAGCTTTTCCTTAGAGGTAGGCAGGCAGGGAAGCCCAGGACACACTGTGGCTCTGGGAATGGAGGGTAGGAATCATTTCTCATTTTGGTTTAAACATTTTACGACATTAACAACCCTAAGCATCTGCTGAAGGCTGCCAAGCACCCATCACAGCCAAAGGGGCCACATTTTAAAAACAGCCAAGTTTTGACATGTGACTTAATGGACCACTGCTTTTTGAAATGCTCACAGGCAGCAGCAGAGTGTCAACGCTGGGAGACAAAAGGGGGAAAACAAGGTTTTGTGTGTGAGTATTGAAAGGAATGGTAGCTTTTATGTTTCTGTTCTGTGTGTGTTTCTTTCCCTAAAAAGGAGAAGTCTCCCAGGCCTGTGATGGCTGCAGAGAGCAGGGGAGGCCCTGGACCTGGCACTCTTGTTCCCCCAAGTCCAAGCTCATTCTGCTACTTGGAGACTAATTGTGCCCATGGCTCGCACCCAGGTTTCCGTACCTGAGCACTCTGCACCCCTTTCCCAGACAACTGGTCACCCAGCACCTTTCCAAGCTGGCAGCCAGTCTACTCCACTTTTTCTTCTCCCTACTTGAAGGCAGTGAGCAGAGGGGCCTTGGCTCCCTCCCGAGGTGGAGTCCCTCAGGCTTCCTGAGCACACAGGGCATCCTGGAAGCAGCTGTCTAGGGGATGCTGGGCCAGGACATGCGGAGCAAGCTTTGGGAGTCTGACATCGTGCAGAGGAATGTGAGGTCAAACCAGCCTCAACTTGGGGTGCACCACAGTGCACTGTGCTCTAAGCTGCTGATTGGAGCAACACACACACACACACACACACACACACACACACACACACACACGCACAGGGACTCACTCTAGAGGTGAAATTCCACTTGGGGACTCCTAGCACCCAGTAGCTTAGAGAAACAGTGTTTTCTTTGTTAAGCACTGACAATAGGACTGTGTAGTAACAGGGGAAGTAAGCAATAGATTCCATCTCTAACTCTATTTTAGGCTAATTTGGGGAGCTTAGTGGGCACTCAATTTTCTCTCTCTCTCTCTCTGCATGCAGATAGGTGCACCCCCCCCCCATATGGCTTTTAAAAATAAGTCAGCTCTTCACACACTGTCTCTCTTTTTCTTTTTATGCTGGGGGAAGTGTGTGTTTTGTTCTGCACCATTTAGATTGCAGGCTTCAGGGAGATGCTAGGCCTGTATGGTGTAGCCCTCCTTAGGACGTCAGTAAGTAGGGTAGCCGGTGCTCTTCCTCTGTTGATGGGAAAGTTCAGGGATTATCCTGAAATTCTGCCTTCAGTGCTGCCCAGGCTGATTTGGAGTTTCTTACAGACAGGAAGTTTCAGGTGAGCCCTAGTTTGTTCCCGCTCTCTCCCTTTCCCTCTCCTTCTCTCTTTACCTCTGCATCTTAGCCTCCTTTTCCTGCATTAAGCACTGCAGATGAGATGCCTATGTTTACCGCATTTGTTCTCAGGCCCGGGAGCAGGCATTTCTATCAGAGACCGCATTTGAAGACTTATAGAAGTAGAGCATGACAGCTCTGGGGTGGTTGGTGTCTACTGGTGCCTGCCCAGAATTCTAGCGCAGAGGCCTCACCTAGGACTTCTATCTCCATAGACTTGGAATAATCAGGGCTGGTTTGGATGAAGCTCATTCAAGGACAGATCCCTTCCTCCTTGTAGGGAAAGACTTTTTATTATGCAATTTAAGTAGGTGCACATTATTTTTATGAAGGAGTTCTGCTACCTGTATAATGTTTTGCATCTGTCTACCATGGGATGGCCAAAAGAAATACTGAGGAATAATAAACCTCGTTATTTGGCAGGTACATCAAATTTAGGAAGGACACCAGTGCATGATTCCTTTCTTCTCTGTAATATACAATTTTATTTTGGGAAAATACAAAAATTATGAAAACATTTACTTAGGTCAAGATGTACTTGTATCAACCACAGAAAGTCAAGGTTGCTGAAAATCCACTATCTTGCATGTGACCCTGTGGCCTAATAAAGGCATTGATGAGTTTTCCGGGGCTCTGATCTGGGCCTGTACCTGGGTCCATAGTTTGTGGTCTGTCTCTAGCCATCATGTGCAGCTTTGGCTTTTGCATTTGAAGCTACTGCTCAGCTCTTGCAAAGAATTTCAAGAACTTTGTTTCTCCTTCACAATTTTTCTTCTCTCCCTGTGCTGATCAGTAAGACTTGTCAAAAATTTTCCCAAAATACACTCAAAT